GGTGCAGAGGCAGCGCCCGCAGCCTGAGAAGAATGGGGTTTGAGGGGGTCCATCTGGTTTCAGTTGGTCATGTGGCTTGTGGAAATTTCTGGCATCAGTGTTGCTTTTGCTGCTTTTTTGGGTCACAAGCTCAGTGAGTTGTTTGGCAGGGTCTCAGCTCCCTGCTTTCTCAGGATGTTCGTCAGTCTGTTGTCTGGAGAGGGTGTGCTCTGGAGGATGGCCTGGAGGCACTGCAAAGGCTGTGCATTGGGCTGGGAAGCCCTTTGTGATAATTCATTTCTGAGGGCTGCTCTAAAATTGCAGGTCCCTGAAGATAAAACTGGAGCTGTGCTCTGTATGATGGCTTTCACCATAAGAGAATGAAAGCAATTAAACAACAGAGGCAATAATGAGAGAGCACACTGCTAACCTGATGGCAGCTTTCACTGATGCCTTCCAAAGCTTTTTCCAGCATGGGAAGGCTTATTCTGTGGGCAGAACACCCTGATCTCAGTGCTTGTACCTTCTCCTTTCCTGTCCAGTCTCATCTCTTCCAGCTGCTGGGACAGTACAGTGCAACCTTCATCCTGCTGGTCTGCAGGTGTATCTGGAATGTAAGGGATGCTGAAGCATAGCTCACGTGCATTGCTGAGCCCTTTTTTGGAGATGTGCAGATAAAATCTGTTTACAGACTGAGAGATCCGTGGTTCATGTGGTTATGTGTTATGCTGATAGGAAAGCAAGATAGTTTCTGTGTGAACAAATACCACGACCTTGGTACTTAAATCAGTGCTACCACGGTGTTATTTATTACTCGCTTCACTTAAATCAGAAGGCTTGGTCCAGGCTGTACTTCAAGGTGTTGTGAATGCCAGCACCACTGAGATAATGTGGCCACACACAGCACATGCACTCAGTGCTGCTAGTTGGCAACAGCAGACATGAGCTTTTCCTGAAGGCAGTTTTGGCATTTTCTGAGCAAGGATCTGACAGCTGTTCCAGCTTCTCCATGCCCACAGGCTGATGTAGCTGTAGGGTCGGTCTCTTACCTTGGTTGGAATCCAGTGGTCAGCATTTCACAATAAAGGGAACACGTGGGCAGCTGCAGAAGATCTTGTTGGTGCTTTAGGGAAGGAATGGTGCTGCACGTGCTTGGCTTTACCCTGCTGCCTTCTGAACCTGCCAGGACAATACCTGAATTTCCTCTGAGTAGGAATTGGGCACTGTCTCTTAGTCAAGTTCTATCCAGGTTGGACTTGTTTTGTTTTTAAAAATCATTGTGGACCTAGTGCTGCCCAGTTTCTGTACCATATTTTTGCATCCTTCCTGTCTTGCTTTGGCCTCTGTTCACTCTCTTTCTGAATTCTTCTGCTGCAGTGTGGCAAAGCCTTTTCTCTGGGTAAGCTCCTGCCACCAGGTTCTCACCACGTCCCCATCCTTCTGGCTTTGAGCCTCCAGCTCCCCACCTGCAGGCAGAGCATCACACACTGTTCTTGGGCAGCGCCAGCGGGAGTGTGTCCCTTTCAGGTGCTGGCTTTGCTGATTGTGATCCAGAGGTGGTCAGAGCTCCGTTGCAAGCCCCTTGGCTTCCTCTGGCCTGGCAGCAGATGGCTGCCTGTGCAAAGTGATCACTCATGCACACTAATGCTGACAGAGGACTCCAGAGGATTGCAGGGACTGCTGCTTTTGGGGCTTCCTGCCAACTCCGTCACAACCCCAAATGACAGAAAAGCCGAGGAGGCTGCAATGTGCTTGGGAAGGGGTGAGGTGTTCCTGTGATGCATGCTGTCCTTGTCATTCAGACTCCTTGCTTAGGTAGGTCAACTTAGACCATTCATTTTATTGTTCTTTTGAACAAGCTGCCATAGCTTTGTTTCTCCAGCAAAGGAGTGTTTTGAAGCTCCAGGCTGATTCTGTAGGAGTGGGGAGTATGTGGATTGTGTTTGTAGGAGATGAAGGGTACCGTACTGCTGCCCCACTTGAGATTTGACCATATTCCATTTGCTATACTGCATATAGGGTGAAACAGGATGAAGTTGGACCCCTTCGGCAGTAGCACAGGTGAAATCTGTGGCGATGGAATTGCTTTGTCACAAGGCAGCCAAGCATGGCTGCTGATGGCACCATCACAGACCCATCCTCAAGCTAGCGTTTCCTGAGCCTAGTACCTTGTCTGGAGTGCCTTGGCTGGGATTGCAAAGCGCTGATGTTCCACCCCTACCTTCCATCTCCAGCCCTTGAAACAAACTCTTGCACTACCTCTTCAAGTGGTGTAATTAAATTGTAAGAACTGGAGTCCTCATTACCTTCTCCCATGTGAGAGCTGAGGAGCTCATCTTCAGAGAGAGGCTGTTGGCTGAGATCCAAAGGAGACAAATCTCAGAGCAGAAGCTGCACCTGTGTTGATATTTACTCTCATTAAGGATAATGGTCATTACCAAGTGCTATCAGCGCAGGGTTGCTCTTTGCAGGTTATTTTTGTCTGGCGTTAAGCAAAAGCAGAAAAAAAAAAGCAAAATGCATCCATCTCTGCCATTTCTGCATATCTTTTTTCCTTTTCCAAAGAAACATTAATACAACATCTGAATTGGTGGGTCTGGCATGTGCAGAAGTTTGCATTGATGCATGAAAAAATTGTTGATTCATATTTAGAAATCTCCTATTCTGGGAGTTTGCTCCTCTTCCATCCCTTGCATCAGTGCACATAGATTGCATAAACAGACTGAATTCCCAATGCACTGGTGCAGACAATCAGACCAATGCATAGCCAGAGAAAGATTGGAGCAAACTGCTGCTTGCCTTCCTTTGATAATGGATGTGCATTCAAGCAGCTACGTGGATCTCTACAAACGGAGCAATCCTGACAGCAGAGTGGTCTCAGAGTCTGGTCCTTCCAGTGAAACAGCTGTTCTTATCTTTTGTTTTTTAATTGAAGCTCATGCAAGCAGGAAGAGAATTGGTAGGAACTGGAGTGCCAGGCGTTGCTAGTGGCTTGCTTGTGAGTGCGTCTCGGTAGTAATATTTTGTAGCTTTTCTGATGACAAACCTTGCAAAACTGTTTTGAGATGAGTAAGCCTTTGAATCTCTTAACTGATGCATGAGGAAAAATTCCCTGTTTCGCTCTGTTTTGAAGTTGCCTGAATTGATGGCAGAACTGGCAGCAGAATTGTTTCTACACCAGTTTTGGTCCTCTGCTTGTCTCGGGGTTTGACAGAACCTGTTGCTAGAGCCAGGTTGTCAGCATTGCATTTGTTCCCTGCAACCACCTTCTAACTTTCTTCTTGACAAGGCTGAGGTGGCTGTAAATGAACCTATGTTCTGGAAAATTTTGGGAGTGTTTAGAACAGTATTTAGAAATGTTAACTGGCCTTACTGTGGACTGACATGAGCTGATTGCCAAGCAGTTAACTCCAGCGGTTCCACGAGGTTTTCTCCATGCACCTTGATCTGTGTCTGGGTAAGATGTGAGGGTGGTCAGAAGCTGTGCTGCCTCCTGATATTTGTTGACCCGTGAACCCCCTAGTTTTAGTCTATGGGAGTGCTTGAGGACTGCAGGTGAGTGAAGGCAGGGAGCTTCTGCTCCTGGACTTGATGTTGTTGCAGACTTTCTCAGCAAGATTCTAAATCCAGGCTATTGAGATTGTAACTTGGTTTGGTAGGACAGAGAGAGATCTGTGGTGTTGCTTTAGCTATAATTTGACAATGGAGAGCAGACATGAATTCAGTAACACTCTTACAGAAGTTTGCTTCTCGACAGCAGAGCTTACAGGCACTTCTTAATGGTAAAGTGGTTACATGCTTCATTAGTTCCTTAAAATACTCATTTCACTGTAATGTTCTGCTGTTGGTGCATGTGTCCATAGTATACCCTTTCTCATTTCCATCTAAAGATAATCATTGTGGAGATTTCCACAAAGGCAGGCTCTCATTTGCAGCACATTGCAAACTTCTTTGTTGTTCTAAGGCAGCTGGAGAACACTGGGGGAATTAGAACCAGTGCTGCCAGCAGCCCTTCGTTTGGTGGAGCCCTTGTATCTTGGGTTCTCTAATGTGTCTCTAATTGGTTTAAACTTGATGGGTTTCCAGTATTTTCATTTTCTAAATTGATTTATCTGCACAAAAAGTACAAGTTGTCCTCTGCTGGGTTTCCAAGGTTTTTAATCTTGCAGTTTGTCGATGCAAAGGATAGTCTCATCGGTGTGGATCATCCACTTCTCTTTGTAGTTCACTGTTTCACACATCTCCCCAGATCTGTGCCTGGCTTCATATCCACTGCAGCTTGAAGCAGACTTAGCAGCTGCACTCCTGTGTTATTGAGGACAGCAGTTATTCAGCACAGACCCTTCCCCTGCCTGCCTCACCAAAGGCACAGTTTGCTCCCGTGGCCTTTTTCTTTAGCCTAATCTGGGTTGTGCCAGAAACACAAAGTGAATTCTTTCTTTTTTCCAGTTTGAAAACCACCACTTTCCCTCTGCCTGCCTGTTGCAACTCCAGGACACGTTCCTCGTACCTAGAGCAAATGGGGTTGCTCCAAAATTTGGAACTTTTTAAAACTGTCCACATGTGATCTGGGCATGGAGATACAACGAAGATAACTTGGTTTTATCTTCTGCCAGATACAAAAAGAAGTCAGCTTTTGTCTTTGAATCTTTTCACAAATGGTGCTATTTGGTCATCAACGTATCAAGAACGTGGACTTCTTAAATGTTGACTTCCTAAATTTTATGTTAACCCCTTGGACAGAATGTCAGCTGAGGTACTTAGACATGCTAGGATGGACTCATTTTCTGCTGGTTGGAGCCTGACATCGGAATGAGGATTTAACACAGTCTGCTGTGTCTTGACCAGTCAAACTGAGGAGTTTAATTGTCTTTTCTCCAAAACTTGGCTGAGCAGCTTCTAAATAACTGTTAGGTACTACTGATTGCTTTTGAGGAAGCAGAGCAATGAGTTTTCAGAACTGAATGCATTTGATTTCTTTCTCTTGTAACTGTTTTTCTTCCAATATGTGTTTTTTGCAGTGACACTGAGAGCCGAAAATTATGCAAGAAGATGAAAGTAGATCCTAATTCAAAGGAGAAAGGAGTGGAATTACTCCATTATAAGTGAGTGCTGGGCTGGGATTTGTAGTTCCTAATTGTCGATGCCCCTGTTAGGACCACTTGTTTTCCTTGCACTCCATTTTGCTGCAGCATGAGAAGTTATTTCTACTGTGCCCTCTGATATGTGAAATTGCTCGCTGTTTCTTCAGTTTGGAAGCATGTGTTGTAACAGAAGTTAAGATAAATTTATTGTGCTGTTGAAGAGAATACATGATCTGGGCTTGTGGGAGAAGTGCCCAATAGACTAAAACTACCCAATGCACAGGGCTGACGGCTGAGATTTGGATTTCTTGCTTTTTCTGTCACTTGCCTACTGGCATGTGTCTTGGACAGTTGGCTTCACTACTCTGCTTGCTCTTCTAACATGAGGTAGTACTTTGTAAAGTACTTGGAGAGAGGGAAATGGAATGAGATAGTAAGATATCTTCTTCCTGAGAATAATAGAGTGGGAGTACTGTAAAATGTAAGAGATACCAAGCAGCTGCATCTCCAAAGATAATGCCTTAGTAAATTTTATTGTTAAAGCGTCAGAGAGGAGAGACCTGGTTGCATGACATACTGTTTTGCACCCTGCCTTTATCCTCAGTTTTCCCTTTCCCTCCCCTGCTTAAACAGCTGTGGTGTAAATTCTGCTGGGTTCTGTGGCTTTGGCAGGATAATTTTACTCTGGTTAGTTAGAAGTAAGGGAGCTGTGTGATTTCCAGCAATGCTACTGTAAGTTAACACTGATACCCACTCCTTGTTCCACAGGGATGGTGCATTTCATACTGAATATAACAGAGCTGTCACGTTGAAGGTAAATTTAAATATTTGATTATTATTTGGTTAGGTATGGGGGAGAGATTTGTGGGTTAAAAACAGGTGTTGGTACTTTTTCATGCTGAAGGCATGAAAGGGAGGGTGGTTAATCTTCATAAGCAGCTGTCAGAATGACCTAAGGGCATTTGTGGATGCATGCATCTGCCAACCACGGATCCAGAAAAGCTGTGTATTAACAAGATTGAACCCGTGTTAAACAGTCATATAAATTGTGAGTTAGCTTCCAAGCTGGTTACAAATAAGGATTTTCTTATTTTCATTACCAGGTACTATTGATGGCAATATAACTGAAAGTATTAGCTGATATTGCATTTTTTGATAGAAATTTCTCTGAAGTTTTTAGGCCTTACATTTATAAACTTCCAAGAGTTGAGTGGCCTGCTCTTTGATCATGGAACTGCAGTTTCTATGGATGTGCCCAGAGTGCAAGAGGGATGAAATGACTTCCTGTTTTCTCTGAATTTTGAGACAAAGCAACAGGAAGCAGTGTTCTGTGAGCACAGTGGGAAAGATATGAAACTTGACTGACTGGGGGAATGACAGACTGAAAAGCACAGTAAGCAAGGTGAAAGTGAGCAGCCTTCCTCAGCAAATCCCCAGTGAGGTGCTGGGAGTATCCTCATGTGGGGCAAGTGGTGATTTGGCTTCCAGAAATGACTTCCACCCAGTTCTGATGGCAATTTGTTTTTCTTCCTCTTCTTCAGCGAGCTTGGGCTCTGCACAGTCACTGAAGCTTGATGAATCAATCCAGGCTGTCAGAATTAGATTTGCATCTTTCTTCTGCCTTGTTCCAGGGTTTGGACTGGGATGGAGGAAAGTCTGTTTGAGATGCTCTGTGAACTCTATTATGTCAGAGTGGCCACTTCTAAGCATGTTTCCTCTGTTACCTTCCTTCCGCAGCCAGAGTTGTTGTGGGGTAGATGATGAAGAAGTTTGTCTTGGAAATAAACTATGCTTGAATCATCTATTCAGCAGGATTCACATGAAGTGAGGAGAATAGGACTGTGCATCTTCGCCTCTCCTGCAGCAAAAATGCTGCTTGGATTGGATAACCCAGCCTTGTCAGCAAATGCCTCCAGGCTACTTGTGTACTTAGTGAGGAAATGCACCTGATGCTTTTTTATTATTTTTTCCTCTTGGTGGGTGGTGGGGTGAAGTAGACTGATTAGTTGCCTAGATGTGGGTGGTTTGAATACTTGTTAAAATGTCTTTCCTGCTCTCCGTACAACACTGCAACCAGGAATTAGTGCTGTGACTCTTCCTTACAGATAGGATGAACTGGAATGCACCTGCGGAGCCCCAGAGAGTGTTCCAGCTGAGATGCAATCATAGCAGAACAGGAACTATGTCATTTATTCTTTTAGTTGCCATTTTGTGATAAATTTTTCCCCTTCCCTCCTGCCTTTAGGTGTTTCATTCTGGCTGGTGAGAAGAAAGCAAATCTAGAGTGACCCCATAGACACACATGGGATGTGTGAGTTTAGTTTGGACAGAAGAGGTTCTGAAGCTGCTGTCTTCCATGATCTGTACTCCTTCTTAAATTAACTGCCTCTCTGAAACCAACTGCTAATGATTTACAGATTGGGCAGCACATCAGAGCCAGGCAGTGGTCAAAGAACTCAGCTGATTGCTTATTTGTTCTGCTGCTCATGGCTATATGAATACTGTTTGTATTTCTCCTTCTGCACCACTTCTCCATGCCTTCTTGTGTTGAGGCAGTGGCACTTCTTTCTTACCTTTAGCTGCGTTTGTGAGAAGTCTCCTAGTGCACTACAAACAGCAAGCAGCAGAGGGATATCATTACACTGAGTTTCATACCCATTTTATATACAGGTGGGCAGAATGAAGAACAGACATTTAAAGAACTTGTTTCATGTCATTCAGCAAGTGTGTGGCGTTAAAACTGGGATCTTCTTCCAGGCATTCTGTAGACATTAATATTTGTATGGTGTTTTGGAGAATAGTGGACGCAGCTCTGAGGAGGAAATGCTTCATTACTGTTAAAGGATTCTTCTGAAGTAATCAGCAATTTCATAGATAGGACTGATCAGCTGATAGCGTACTTAGGCTTTTAAGAAAAGCTTTTCATTTTTTCAAGTGACTAAATCCTTACGTAATTAGAAAGGTCCTTGTGGGTTAACTCTTAGAAAAATGAGGAATGAGGGGTAGCTCAGTGCTTGTAGTGGAGAGATGTTAGTAGTCAGAACCCCCTGCTGCTGAGAGCTTGGTTAGAATCTGAGCTGTTGGAGTGTCTAATAAAGAAGATTGGTGGCAAGGGAATTAAGTTTGATCATGAAAAATTCTTAAGAATAGTTTAAAAAAAAAAAAAAGAAGAAAATTAATCTCTTTAAAGAGTTGAGAAGGCTCACAATACCAGTGGCTTGTCAATATGAAAGCAAGAACTTGTGGGGTAACAAATGCAAGAGGGATAGAGGGACACAACTCCAACTATGCTGAAGTAACCGTGGGTTGTTGTAATAGGATTTGAATTACCTGCCTGGATGTGGTTGGCCTGAAAATATTGGCTTAGCAAGAGTGAAGAAGTCAAATGATTAGTAGAGGAACAGAAAGTGGAACGGGAAATGTTACTCCACCATCTGAGTTCATTGTCTTGCATCAAATACGTAATTCTGGTGGCCACAATGAGTGATACATACCAAGGTACTGTAGAAGGGCAATAACGCTTGGTCAGAAGTATCAGTGCCTTGAATATTTGTATTGGGGGTGCTTGGGAAAAGGACAGTGGGAGAGGGATTGTGATTGATGTATGTGTAACTGTGAGTAGCTTTAGGAATGGTACAGTTACCTGCTTTTTCTCAAAATGTTGGTGCAAGCGGTGACATTTTGAGGCAGCTGATTTCTAACAACTCTGCAGTGTTTTAAAAAAAAAGTTATGGTACACATAGCCATATGTTGTGAAAGCTAAGAATTTAAGTCTTAAAATCAGTGTTAGATAGTCATAAAGTATATATCCATTGATAGCAAGCACAGAGGTACAAATACAACAGCTGGTACAGAGCCAATAAACTCAATTTCTTTTTTCCAGAAACTGAGTATGCAAGATAAAAATGGCATAGTTTTTCTGCCAGGTATCTGTAGTGAGCTGCTGTTGGATATCTGAGGTTAGATCACTTCTTGATTTTAGCTGGTTACTTTAACCACACCATATCCTAATTGCCATACTGCCAGAAGGCCAGTGTCCAGGCTATGTTTATTATTCACTGAGGCCTTTTCTGAAGGGTAAAATACAGGGAGAAGTTTATTGTTTTTCTAAAATGGAGAAAATTCTTTAAATTGGCAGAGGGAATGGACGAACCCAGTAAATTAGACCAGCTCTCAACTCTGTATCCTGTTCAAGTTTGCTCTTGTAGGACGTGTGTGTGTGTAATCAAGGAAAGCTTCCTTATTAGCATCTTTACTGCATTGTACTTGAAAGGAGCGAAAAGTGCGTGATGTGTTTCCATGTTTATTTTTTTCAGGTTAAAACCCATAAATGATAGCCAGCTATTGTATTATTAAAACTAGCTTGATTTTGGCAGCGTCTACTGGACAGAGCTGCATCCTGTGTTCTACTGAATTGGTGTTTGATGTTCAGAGCTGTTGCAGGAGCTCAGGCAGTGGGTAACAGCCCAGTGTGGGCTTGTTGGTGCTGTGGTATCAAAGCATGTCCTGACCCCATCACAGTAGGACAAGAGTGGAGCTGGTTCTGCAGCATGGGAGCTGCTGTGCTTTGGCCTGGACCTTGGTCAGGTCTTGAACTCAGCACCCAGGGACCGCTGTTTTTCTGCAATTAGATAGTACTGTGGTTTGTTTGTGGGGATTTTTCTTTGCTATTTAAAAGTGCACAGGAAATGCTCTTCACAGAGCGGAGTAATGAGTGTGAGGCACTGCACTGCCTGCTCATGCCAGAAGACATTACACATCTAATTTTTTCTTTCTTGGCTGAGAGGGAGAAGCTGCAAGAATTAAATCTCTTTAATCCCCCGTTCTCTAACCACATCTGTTTCTACATCATTGAACTTGGCACACAGGAATTCTTGAAACTAGCAGAGTCAATCGCACTCATTAGCTGTTTAAAATGCTGACCCCTCTCTCCTCCCCAGCAGTGTACATTTGAGGTCTATGCAGACCGAGGGCAGGCAGAACTTGATGCGGTGTTCCTAAGGTTGGAATATCTTCCTGGTTTGGTCTTCCTGCCCTCTCCTTTCTCTATATGTTATTAAGTTTTCTTACAGCATTGTTTGGGATGCTGATGCCTGTAGTTTTAGAGCTTTTTACAACTGTAACTGTGTTATAAATTACTCAAACTTCTTCTTGATAGCTCATTTCTCTGCTAATGCCACATTAAAACAAATTTATTTTACGCAAAGTGTTTGTGGTCCCAAAACAGCTACCTCACCCTTAGGTCTTCTGGGTACATTAAGTGCTTTGGTTATTGTCTAGTGACTAATATATGCTGCCTCTTACTATAAGACAAATCTCTTTAATGTTAGCTAAATGAGTAGACAGTCATTAATACAATAATGCTGTAAGCTCTGAATCCTCCCAAGTCTTGTAGTACCAGCTGAGATGCAGGAAGATGAGCTGAACTCTATTATCTGTTGATAAGCTGTTGGAATGTTGTACAAGAGCAAACCTACCAAAGACAGAAAGGTGGCAGAACTGTCTCTTGAGACTGTTTCAGTGGCATGTGTCACCGGGTGTACTATTAACCTGCTCTTGAGAAGGTGGGTTACAAACCTGAATGGCATGGAGTTGTTGTGTCCCTCGGGTCTTGTTGCTGTCACCAGATCAGCACCTTCCCCTTGGACCTTGCTTTGTTATTGACAGCAGAGTTCTTGTCTGGGAGTGGACACATGCCTACAAGTGGTGCCACAGAGAGAGAAAACAAGGTCAATCTGAGCTGTAAGTGATCATAAAAATCCAGGTATTGTGTTTTCTGTAGCACAGACATCTGAGGATAAGTGATGAAACCAACACCTTCACACATAGCTAGAAACTGCGGGCAGTGATGCTCCGCCGAAATTTGTGGAGAGCCAGCCTCTCATTGACTTTAGAGGACTGAAGTATTCCTCAGGTTCAGTCTGAAATTTGAACCAGTAGGAAGTATTTTTGTGATAAAGGGAATAAGCATGTCAGTCAAGTAGAGTGTGTACATATACTCAGCTTATCAAATATTGGAGCTACAGAATTGAAGTGCTTCACATTTCCTGCTTTTCTTGCTATGTTTCTTTGTTATAATCCTGCTTAAAAATCCATCAAGTGCACTTTCTAGTTGAATGGATCATAGAGGAAACTATTGGTAGATTATTTTCCCATTGACCAAAAGCTCAGTCTGATCTGTAAGTTTGGAATTCATTGCTTTTGCTATGTGAGTATCAGTGTGCCCTACAGCTGGTACTTTTGGACCCAAAGGTTACACAGATTCAGTTAAGGGCATGGAATGTAGCCTCTACATAGAGAAATCTTTCCTGCTAAGCCAGGGACTAGCTGTGGAAATATTGCAGATCTACTACCACTGAAAGAACTCTCTGAAGGATCCTTGAAGCTGTTCACTGTGTGTCGTCCACCTCCACACAACTTTCCCCAGTTTTGTAATGGAAATGGGCACCATTAAGTGGGTATATCATTTGTGAGGAAGTTAAGCACCAGTGCATCACTTAGTTCTGCAACAAGAGATCTTTGTTCAAATTCATTATAGCAAATGAGTGTAAAAATGGAAAAGCAGGTGTTTATTGCATGGGATTCAATGACAGTATGGATTTGAGATTGAGTTCAGGTTCTCATTTGTTTTGCTTTAAAAGCTGTTTGTCTTGTTTCCTACAGTCTATTGTGGCCTTTCTCAAAGATCCAGAAGGTGCTCCATTGTGGGAGGAGGATCCTGAAGCCAAAGACATTGTGCATGTAGACAGTGAAAAGGTATGACAACTGAAGAGATGTTTTGTGTGTTTTGTAATTATATGGGATGTAGGGAGTATGCATGCTTGTATAAACTCTTAATGAAGCACCGTTATTTCCTTTGGAAGGAAATTCTGTAGTACACAGTTGTTAAAGGGACAAAGTTTGTGGATTATGATAGAGAGAGCAAGGTCTCCTTCTTCCTTCCTTCTTTCCTCCATAGTCTGTGTGGTCATGGTATTAGTCTGTGAACTACATAGCAAGCATCGAGTCGTTATGGATGCTGTAATAGAAGAGGCATGTTTGTCTCAAAGCGTAGCAGCTTGCAAGATGCAGTTGCTGCAGGATGCAAGTAGGAGATAAAAACTTTATTCTTAAAACTGCAGGTTGTCATTAAAGCTTGCATTCTCTCATGTGCCTGAGGTCTTCTCAGGAAGTCTGGAGCATGTAGGAGCAGAATTTGGGTCTTGAGTGATTTAACCTTGAACAGTAACCATCTGCAGTGGCAAGTGGAAAAGCTGTAAATAAGATAAAACTACCTCAGTAATCTAGTGCCACCAAAGAGCTACCAATTATATTCTCTCTAATATTATCAGCTTGGTCTTCTGTATTAGTTTTCTAGTCTATTGATTTTTAAAACTTTAATTGATTGGGCACTAGCTGGTATTTTGTAAAGGGCCTTTTCAATTATCTAGCTTTCATTTTTAATATTAGAAACAGTTATTTTGACATTCTGTTTTTGTAGGAAGATTAATTTTTAATGTTCACCTTCTGTACTCTATTATAAGTCTTCCAAGGATTGTGTTCAATTTGAAAACTTGATCTGTTTTTTTCTACCATGCTGGTAGTAAAAAATCTATTCTTATGGCCTATTCTATTTCATAGTGTGGAAATGAAAACTTTGTTTATTACTGAGTCCAACTTATTGAATTAGAATATGTTTTTTTTGTTAGGTTGCAGTTTCTGAGTTGAGAATGGACCAAACAGTACAACTTTCATATTTTGACACCAAAAATGCTGGTCTTGGCTGTTTAGAAATATTTGAGTCTATAAGAAGTTCTGTCATCTCCTTTCCACTTAAAGTTGAGCAGGCAGAAGAAACTCGAGTTTTGTTTGTTTGGAAGTATGACCTCTTCATTTCCTGCAAATAAAAGAGCCTAAATTCTACTAAAGTATTGACTTTTTAAAGTTTAACAGAAGTGTATTTTTATGTAGGCCTGTACTTACTTTATTTGGTTCATTCACTAGGAATTACGAAGACTTCTGAAGAAGGAAGACAAACCCCTTCTGATGATGTTCTATGCCCCATGTAAGTAATGTAGCTCATCTTGCTGTCATCTTCACTGAGAAATGTTCAAGTCTGACTGGAAGTCTCGCTTGCGTTTCACTGACACCATTTTATACTGTCGTTATCATTGAAATCCATGTGGTGTTTGCCTGTTTGTATTCAGTTTTCTCCTCGTTGTTCATTTGCTGCAACCTAGGCTGGCAGTGTTTTTTCCCTTTATCTCAGTCTTGTGATGAGCATCTAGTTTATGTAAGTTTTTTACTTCTTGTCCTTCCTAAATATGTATGGTAGTAAACAGAAGTGTGATATGCTGAGCTCATATGTGTTAATACTACTGTCTGAGAGGGTCTAATCCTCTGGTCTATATGGAGCTGGAATTGCAGATGAATATTCCACATGCTTTTTACTTTTGCACTTTGGACTGCAGCATAAAACAAGCAGTTATACACATACAAAAGCTCTCTAGAGTAGCCCCTGGAATCAAAAGAAGCTCAGTTTGTTCTCAGTAACTGTAGGTAGTGGGAACAGTGAAGAGCAGGAATACTTCTTCTATTCCATTCAGGAGATACTCTGGATGTTTCAATTGTCACCAGCAGGATTATCTTGAATATAGGGTTCATTGGTGGAGTGGCAGAAAGGAAAGAGAAGAACTCATTGGGGTTGCTCTGTTTCTTTTGTGACATTGTCACTGCACTGCTCTGAACTTGTCATTGCATTGGCTGCTTATTCAGCTTTTGCAGATTTACAACTGGTGACAGGTGTGTTAGAGGCTTTCCAGCTCTTTAAAACAAAATACTGCTGTGCTGGAGCTGTTGCTCAGCTGGATAGCAGGGCAGCTATGAGAAAGGCGTGAATGTGTCCCTTAAGCTGGAAAAGCCTCCCAGTGCTGTCCTGATCATGAAATTGATGCAAGGCATTGCTAGCATTTCATTAGTTCACTCTATTCTAAAATGAGTGCCCCATGGCAGCAGTATCTCGTGTTTGAGTGTATTTTCTCTGGTAATTATTGCCTGAAACGCCATCCTACCCTTTTTTAGTCTTCTCAGAGTACCGCCAAGACGGCCAGAATGGCCCAAGACTGAGCATGATGCATCAGTAAGAGGGTGTTTTTTCTTTAATTAAATTAGCAGCAGCACGAGGCCTTCACGCTCTGTAGCGCACCCGCAGCCTGCCCTGGCCGTGTCAGCAGGGGGCCACAGGCCCGCTCTGCCTGCGCGTCGCCTCCTGGCAAGCGCTCTGCTGCACGGCACCGGCACAGTTTACCTGTATCGTGAATAATTGTTTTCCACAACTGAGTCCCTGCCTTAAATGTGCCTTATCTAGCCTTTGGTTCTCTTTGAACCGTTCCCCCAGAAACCCTCCTCCTTCCAGTTTCTGGTCTTTTGAAGTAGCAAAACACCTGCTAGTCTGCAGTGCTGTAATACCTTTGCTGCTTTCTGAACTGCTGTGAAGGAAGCCTACTTGTAAGGTTTTTTCCCCCTCTGATTTCACGATTCTTAACTCCCTCATCTTTTATTTAATACATGAGACCTTCTGACTTGACTCTTATGCAGTTTTTCTTTCCTTACTCTTGCTCCACTTACTACAGGCAGAATATGTCCAGCAGTTGCATTAAAGCACTGGCTTTGGGGAGCTGGAGCTGTGGATTGCTGTCTTGTGGTGTTACTGTTCGTACCTGGCGGCAGCAAATCCAAGCTGATTGCTGAAGGGAGTTCTGCTTTTCCTTACGTGCAGGGGGTGAGCCAAGGGGGTCTTTGGCAGGAGAGGACATCGAAGTCTTTGTGTGGGAAGGCACAAGGAAGACAGCTGCCTCATTTTTTCAGCTTCATTGCAAGCTTTGTTGGAAATCCATTGTGGCAGATTCAGGAAATGGATTCTTTGATTACATGCTAGTGAGGAGGGAGATGAAAGTGACTGCAGACTTAAATGTAGTTTCTTTAATATTTCAGGAATGCTTGATCTGAGTGAAACAACTCAGAGCAAAGGCGAGCCTTTTCCTCAGAAGATATTATTACCTGCCATTTGAAGCCCATTCACTCTACTTTCGGACTTTAATATAAGTCAGACAGCACTAAATATGAAAAATTAGGTATACTTACAGGCATTCAGATTTACTTAGAGCTAACTCTGCAAAGAAGAATCCTGCAAAAGACAGTCTGCATTTGGCAACGAAAATGAGCTGTTCAAAATGTCATTGAAAACAAGACTTTAAAAATGGAGATGTTACCTAGTGGAAAAACTAGTATGTGTTCAATTAAAAAAAGCAGACAAAAGCAAGCAAACACTTTTCACTCAGAATACAAGGAAAAATAATGGATGAGAGATGAGTTTTTTGAAGTTACCCTTGAGATATGCCCGTATGGGTATATATCTGGCTTGTCAGAGTCCTGAACAGCATAGCACGAAAATACATGGTCAGGACAGGTTGCTCTGAGGTAGGTTTGGGATCATGGACACCAAGGCAGCAGAAGGAGCATGAGTGGAGGCTGGGGGAGGAGGCTGGCACGTGCCTGAACTGCGGAGGGGAGTCCAGGGAGAGGTTCCCAAGGGAGAGAGATGTGTAGCTGGAGGAAGTTTGTGGCCTGAGGCTGTTAAAGAAAGCAGAAACAGAGGATTCAGAAGATGGTGTTAATGGCTCATATCTTTTGATGCCTGTCCAGTGGTTTGGATGAAGTCGAGACTTCGGTATGCCTTAAATGAGTGGTCCTTGCCGCCAAGAAATCATTGCTTGAACCAGAACTAATTTAACAACCTCATTGGCAACTAGAGCAGAGAGATCAAAGGTGAAAGGACCACAGAAATGAACTCTTTCCTCTGATTAAAGGATGTTCTTTCCGGGCCACACTGATGAGATCCTAAACCAGGGGTTGCAAAACCTTCCTTTATGAAAGTTATTTTCAAAACCATTCTCTCTTCACCAGAGAGAAAGAGTTGACAGCTGTCCTGTGGCGGACCAAGAGTCTCTACAATAAGTGCCTGAAGTGCATGGCTGCAGCTTGCTTTGTTTCATGCTCTCTCCCCTCTCTCAGTTCCCAGTGTGCATGTGCATATTTTACTTGGCAAGGGTGAAACCTGCTGCTTACAAGGTGATTTATTGCTAATCTGCTTAGCGCTCAAGAGCGTCATCAAAAAGCTCTTAGTGTACTCCAGCTTGTCTTCCTTCCTTGCTCACTGTTTCTCTTTCTCAGCACATAAAGTTCTTGCATCTTATAAGGGCTGTTGCTTTTCCCCAGTTATCATCTCTGTTAGCAGAGCCCAACTTAACTTTTAAAGTCTGTTTAATGTGTTTATGAAGTGTCTTAAATCAGTCGCAAAGACTTTTAAAACTGAGGTGAATCTGCAGTATATCCCCATCCCCCCACTGATAAAGACTAGTTCTGACTTTCCTGGTCACTAGAGTGCCCGTTCAAAATGCATGAAGCTTTTCAATTGACTTGATGAGTAAAACATCTTTCAGCCCACATTCCAGTGTGGTTTCAGCCTCAAGCCTGAAGAATATAGATGGTGTCGCTCATTCCAAAGCAAGGATGAGAAATGAGTAATGTGAAAAACTTTCATGTAACATATAGCATATAACAAGAAGCAATGTCCTTAGAAAATAATAATATAATAATTAGTGGAAAAAAGTAAAGATTTAAAAAAATATATTATAAAAAATGTGTGGTTTAATATACTTTAGAATGTAGATCCTGTAGAAGAATCTGAATGGGGTTGTTGACATATTGCTTACATAATTTCTTTTTTTTAATCAGGGTGTGGTGTTTGTAAGAGAATGATGCCGTCTTTTCAGCAGGCAGCCACAGAGCTGAAGGGTAAATATGTAAGTGAGAAGATAAATTTTATATGAAATACGAAAAGTCCTTTTAGATGCTTTTTTTTTTTTGAGCATTTAAAACCACAAATACTGAAGTGGGGTATTTTTAATTGGGCTGAAGCAAAACCAGAAATGAATGATGTTGTTCCAGAACCACTCAAGATTCTCTTTTTTATTTTATTTTGTTTTATTTGTATTAAAACTTTGAAGAATGAGGTGTTAACTCGCCATTTATATCTGGTGTGGCTTCTGCGGGGAAAACTGGGTTCTGACACTGTGTAGTTGATCTGCTCCTAACTGGTTAGTCTGTGGGCTTCCTCAGCTTGTTTAGGTAAGATAAGTAAATGTTTGCCATATTGGATTTGGTTAGCTTTTTGGCTTGATGTTTCATAGAGGACTCAAGGATGGATATCTTTATAGTAATAATTAATCAACTTTTTCAGTGGAGAGTCAGTGTCATGGGACGGGTATTACCCTTAGTTAGCTTGATTGTTCTCCAAGCAAGTGAGCTTAAGCATTAGTAATTAGTTTTACTATAGCTTTGTTAACAAACAATTTATATTGGGCTGAAATGAAAACAAAATTTGATCCTAAATAAAATCATGTTATAGCAATAACAATGACTTAGTTACCTGTTTGTACTAATAAGGCATATTGAGTGCTAAGCAAGTTGAAGATGCTTGTCAAGATCTTATGCTTTGTGCATAATTTGTGTAATACCCCTAATACTGGAGTGGTACAGCAATAGGCTTATAATAAATTCCATAGGTCAGGCTGGATCTGTCTGTTCCTACCCGTTGAACCAGTCACTGTAAGAGTTTCCAGGTTTTCTTAGGAGAGGCAGCATATGATAGAGGAAGAAATGAAGCACCACAGTGCATTGCTAGGGAGGCTCAGGTCAGCATATCTCTTAAGCACTGAGAGTGCTCACACTTCCCCACCTTTTCCCAGCTAGTTGTTTTTCAAGTGTTTCTTTAAATCCTTGCTTGCTTAGGGCTAAAAGCAGTGGGAGTTGTTCAGATTTATTTAGGATATATTTTCCAGCATGCTTCTATCCAGACAGGCAGCATTGAGATTCCCTCTCTCCTTGGAGGAGGGTGTGCTGCTTTCTGTGGAATGGTGCTCCCGTCCTGCATGGCAGGTCCATCGTGAGGTGTGGGTGGACAGGAATTAGAAGCATGAACACCTACACAGATAATGTCAGAAAGGAGGCATGCTGCAAAGCACTGTATCGTTCTGGAATTATCCTTTACCTTGTCCACATATCATTCTGTTTGTATTAAATACAGACTAGAGAATTTAAACTCCAAATCTCTTCTACTTTTTTCTTCCTCTCTCAGAAATAGTTTCTACAGATCTGGGCTAATCCTGCCCAGCTCAGAGGTGCTGCACAGGTCAGAGGTGCTTTTGGCTTTCAGGTGGTTTTAGTGCAGGGTCAGGGTTATGCCACTGCCACCAGTGTCTTTCACATGTATCTGTTCATCTAAATCTGATCTAATTAGATTTGAGTGGGATGTGTACAGAGTTTGTCACTTCTAAAATCTACTGTGCTGTACCCATCATAAATTGTCTATGCATTGCCTGAAAGCAGTGTTGACCTCCAGATCAGGCATTGCTGGAAAGTTTATGATAGGTTTGGATGGAATGAAGTTTTGGCTTTTTAATCAGACTTGTCATTAGCTGTCAGAATGTGCCAGGCTTAAAAATGATTTTTACCACTAGATAGCAGGAAAATGAAATACCGTGTTGCCTATTTCATAGGTCCTAAAAATGAAAAGGTGAACTGTATCTGTTGTTGGTTGTTACATTCTTCTGGGACTAGTCCTTTTATGTTCCAGTACTGCTGCTGAAGGGAAAGCTGAGTGGCACATTCAGTATTGTGCTTAGAGTTTGCAATTTCTTTCTGCACTGGAAATGAGCAACTCCAAGTGAGATGAAGATGACTTATTATATTCTTGGCACAAAAGATTCCCATGATTTGTGGCAGGTGGGCTCTGGTGAGTGTCTGTAGCTGACGTGCTATGGCCCAAATGCAAGGAGTAACTGGTGGTCAGCAAAGAACTTCATCTGCTTAATTTCTGTTGACTTTGAGTGCACCAGAAGGCTTTACCCAGTAAAGAGATGCTTGAGTGTGTGCTTAAGTGTTTTCCTCTTGTTCTTGTCTTTTTTTTTTTGTAAAAACTGGAGACTTTAGAAGCTCCTCCCCTTATTTTAGAAGTCAAAATCAGCTTTGGTTAATGTGTTCATCAAACTTAGCACTAGGAAGGCTTCAAGTGGTGATGTGAAGCTGAAATCTGAAGCAACCCTATTGATAGGGCTTTTAAGCAATGTGTGAATGTTGCAGGAGAACAGGAATAGTCAGAGTCCCATAAGATGTGACCAGCTATGGATTTAGATTACAGATAGCTTGTTTGGAAGCAGATGAGGTGTCGAAATATGTCAAATGTCACTGCAGAGATTAAAGGAATAAACTGATCTCCTGTTTGCTGTGGACTTTGCAAGAGGTAATAAACTTCAAGTACAGTTAGAGTCTTTCAGTCATTTGCTAAAAGCAAATTAGCTAAACATCTAAGCAGGAGAAACTTAAGTATAAAGGGAGGATCCAGAATTTGGGTAGAAAGTGTGCTCATGGCCCCTGCCAGATTTGGTGATACGTAATTATGTGATTATAGGCCAGGTAGAGCAGTAACTTTGGTCATTAAAAATGAATCCCATTGTAATGGGCTTCTGTCCAGTTATGTTTCATATGATATATGAACACCAGTATGAATCCAAGTTCTTGTGTCTTATCAGTCACCAGTCTGGTTGGGCACAGTTCAGTTGGTCCTGTTGAATTTACCTGTTGTCAAGAGGTGGCATATAGGGTAATGGAAAGGGAGAACTGATTCTTGGTATCTGAAATGAATTAAGTCAATCTGATTTTTAGAATTACAAGGAAAATTCAAAGAGACTGGACCAGCCGGAATAGATCCTATTTCTGTACTCCTCTCAGTTAACTTTCCTTTCACCTTTCTCAGGATAGGTGAGAGAAAACAGTATCTTCTTCTGACTTCCCAGCACACTCTTGGAAAAGGTTGACCTTCAAGCAGGGATTGTGTTCTGTAAGATTTATTTCATGCTGGCTCTGAGCACATTTGGTTGGTCTATTCAGTTTGCTGCATCAGGAACCTGGTATTAAATTCTGATGTGGTATTTCAGCTGGAAGGAGAAAATCCTGTTTTTGGAGGGGGATGGAGGAGGAGGAGTTTGGATTAAAACCCTGCTGCTGAAATGATTTAAGCTGTCAGTGCCATTAAAACTAAGCTAATCTTGAGGTTGTATCTCAGCAACTGGCTGGCTGGAGGTTTGGCTGCAGAATAGCCTCAGTGTGAAACTCACCCACGGAAAATCAGAATTAGTACCATCCTCAGATTTGCAGGTCAAAAATCTGAACGGCAGTTGGATAGGGCACAGGAGCCCTGAGCCTGGAGATTGGGGTGGACTGCTGGGTTGGAGGGTGGGTTGGAACAGAGCCTGAAGAAAGGGAAAAGAGACTCTGTGTATCACTGTCTGTAAAGTTGCTCTGCTTCCGTACCCACCTTCAAGTATCTGTAGACAAGGCTATTTCAACTGTCACTGTACCCTACCGGTCAGGCAGCTAATGTATTTAAAATGCCATGTGGTATTTCCAGAGCTCATGGAGCATGTTTTACTTTTACACTGAAGTAATACCTATTCTTTCCCCCCGGTCATTCATTAAGCACAGTTTTAAACTGGGATAAAGCCAGTACTTGGTCAGGTAGATCTGGACATGAGGTGAGATTGTAAAATTGTTGCTGAAGTGGAAACCAAAGAAGTGTGGTGGAACTTGTGTCCTGGTTAATGTTAGGATATGAACCAAGCTGCGTACTTGCAGAAGAGGAAGATCTAGTTAGAATTGTAGCTTAAAATACAAATACATAGGGAAAGCACAAGTAGTGAGATTGAGAGAATTTCCTTTTGGTGATTCTGTTAGTGGGTGAATAGAAGGAAATGGAGATTCTGCAAGAGAAGTGAGTAGGTGACAAGATAATTGGTGTGTGTTTTCTATGGACTAGGCTCAAATATTGCTCTGTCTTCCCTTGGTCAAAATTGGAAATACTTCATTGCCTTTATGAAGTCCCTCTAGTTTTACAGCAATATGTATTAAATCAGAATCTGCCTAGAGCTTGCTTGGTTTTGCTTCATGATGTTACTACTGCATTATAGGAATCAATATAATTGTGTTCTGTTTTTTCAGGTTCTTGCAGGAATGAACGTTTACTCTGCTGAATTTGAAAGGATAAAGGAAGAATACAATGTCCGTGGATATCCTACAATCTGCTATTTTGAGTCAGTTATATTTTGCTACTCTTTGGAAATCATACACTCAACTATAATTGCATGTTCTTATCTTCAAGGCAAGGACTAAACCTTGTTTTGTTCCTTTAATAGGAAAGGAAAGTTCCTGTTCCATTTTGAGAACTATGGTGCTACTGCGGCAGATATAGCAGAGTGGCTAAAAAAGTAAGGCACTGAACTTCATGCACTCTACCTTTTATGTACTTTTCATTATTTACAAAATGTAATGGTTTAGGATCAGCCATCTCTCCCTCATTCCCTCTGCTCAAAAGAGCAAACAAAACTACCCTGCTGAGATTGGCTAAACTAGCACAGAGAGATTGCCTAATGTTTGTTTTTCAGCTTGCATGCCTTGCATTTTACAACTGCATTTCATCTGTAATAGGAGACTGATGGACCAAAATCAATGCAAATGCACAGATCTTGTCTTCGTTAAAAACGCCAACTTAAATTTCCAGTGATCTTGGGTGCCTGAACTTAATGTCTCATAAAATGTCTGACTTCAGTTGTTTTATAAAAAATGTATGTGCCAAGTGTGCAGTTTTTGTTGCTTCTTCAGCCTTCAGATGGAGCCTTTAGAGTATCTTGCAGGAACAAGCAGCAGATCAAGGCACCCTGAATCACTAGTCATTTTCACAAAGTTTGTGTTTCCTGTTGTGACTTGAGCGATGTTGAAAGCATCTTCTTCTGCCTACAGGCAGCTATTTGCAGTTGTAAATATTCGGGGGGCTGAATGAGCATGTGGGAATAGAATTTGAGAGAGGGAGACGGAACAAGTGTGTTTATGTACGCCTTTTTCTAAATAGTTGGTATTCAGATGGTGCAAATCAGCACATCATTGAAGCTTGTGGAGCAGCTGGAGGGAGCAGAGCTCATCTAGTGATAGACAATTGCCTTTAGCAGCCAGCTCCAGCTCTCAGGTTTTGTGGAGTTATGAAGGTTCTCCCTTGTTCCTTGCAGCCAAGGAAATGCTGTTAAAATTAAGCTAGTATGAGGAAGTGGAAAATGTGGAAAATGTTGCAAGCCATCGTGATAATATAGTTTAAGAAAAGTGGCTTACAATAGACATATTTTACTGCACTGGTGGGACTGTGCTGGGGATGTGTGAGTCATTCTGGATAGCCCAGGGTCTTCAGCAGTGGTAGGTTTGGTGGTTCAGGGTTGGGGACCCACAAATGTGGTGACAGCAGCATTCCTGTTAGCATCAGGAGGTACAATCATTGAAGGCAAGCCTTGCCCTGTGGATGATAGAGAGATTTAGGTGCAGTCTATAAGCTTCATTTAGTTCATTCAGTCTTTCAGATATAAATGACCAGGATGGCAACTCCAGCAGTGCTGAGGGGATGATGAGCCCATGGAGCAAGGATGTGACTTCATCACCTGTACTGTATTCTGCTTTTTAGTTCTGTGAGGATGTGGTTATCTCTTGGCTACCACATTTGAAACATTAGATGTTTGGGGTGGGCTTTTCCCCTGTCTGCATAATATCCAGATAATCCATATAATATGAAGTGCTTTTCTATTGGTGTTGAGACAGCAAGTGAGCACAGCAAAAGCAAAGCAGAACAGCTGCAAGCTCTTTCCAATGATAATCTTTGCTAACAAGCCACTGTGGGCTTTGGCTGATATTCCAGCAGTCCAAAGGTAAAGGCAGCTGTTTGTCCTCACTTAGCGTTCAGTGCATGCTTATTAGTTTCCCCAAAGATGATCTGAGCAATAGCCTTCTTGCCCCTGTTTTGTATAATAAATACGACTTTTAAGGAAGCTTCATTGGGAAATTATGCATACTTAAATTTTGTTAGTAGTTAATGTTGTAATTAAAACTGTATGCAGGGTAAATCTGCTACATGCATAATGCTATATTACTCTAGGGAATCCACAGTATAACTACTCAAGTGGTATGGCAAGGGCTTTAGGAAAGCCAGAGATTGTGATTAGGTAGCTGCAGAAGGCGTATCCTTTGTATTTCAGAATAGCATAATACTAAAATTCTCACCAGATACCTCGAGCTAGAATTTAATATCATTACTGTTGTCATCTGTTGATGTCACTGATGTCTTGAGCAGTCTCCTCACTTCTGAGTTAGGAATGCTGGCTCCCTTTTCTGAGAACACAACTACAGCGAATCGAGCAGAAGGCTGTATGCATAGGTATGCAACAAGACCAAACCCAGAATCTAGTATTTAGTCTCCAAACTCCCTGGCTGTCAAGTGTAGTTCTGGGTTTCCCATGCTGTGTCACTTTGGATGATTCTCAAGTGGTGACATTGGAGCATAGAGGCCGCTGCCAAGATGAAGCTGCTGACCTCAGGAAGAGGCTCTAGTAGGAGCTGCTGACCAGTCAAACAGGTGTGCTGAACAGCAGGAGCACAGTGCTGCCAGCGTGTCCAGGGCAAGGAAAACCAACTTGTATTCATACTGTGCATGCAGGTGCCCTTATCCATGCATTCTCAAAAGGGAATCCAGCAGACACTGTGCCGTGTGAGATGACCTATTTTCTGTGGACACTAGTTAAACACTGCAGAAGTGAGACTGCTTTCTTCTGTCTCCCCTTTGTCTATTTTGCCCTGTAAATGTTTAGGGTTAAATGCTGAAAGCAATTGATCTGTGCTGATTTGGAGCATAGGGCTGCAGAATGTAACAACAAAGGTTAGAATTGTTTAAACTGTACAAAGGATGTTTTTCATGCACTCTCAGAGCAAGAGCTCTACCAGTTTGAAGGGCTCCGGTGCCTTTTTTTTGTTGTTTTGAAGGTACTTCCTTAAGTTGAAGTGTCGTAACGCATCAGCCTGGAGGTCCTTAACCCCCCTTAATCTTCCTAATAGGCACAGGCTATTATCTTCTGGAGTTTCAGATGTTCTTATGAGGCATGGAGAGAAACCATCATGCACTCTTACTCCAACACAACATTATTAATATGAGAGATGCTATCTTGTACGTGCCGCATTTCTTTTTTAATCTCTCTCATACCGCTGCATCAGTTTGTACGGTAGTGAGGCCAGACAATTTCTTGCTGCCTTCAGTAGCTGCTTAGTTTTCTTGCTGTTTTTATGTACTTCTCTTGGGTCTTTCCTTAGCAAACTACTCAATTAAAATCAAGAACTTGTCCTCTGTATTTAATTCAATTAGCTCTTGATAACTCTTCCAGACTTCTGTCGTCCTATTTTTGGACTTCAGGCGTTGGATGTGCCTTCTCTCAGTTTTAAATGACACTTTAGATTTTGCTTGTTGTCTCCTCCAGGCCTTGAGGTGCTTCTTACCAGCTCCTGTGTAGGCTTATTAGCATGCACAGCATTTTAAATTGGGCCATTTGAATAAACATCCTGTGCCCTGCTTTACTGATTCCTTACTGAAATAGGTCATGCCAGGCCCTGCTGAACACAGCTTTCATGGTGCTTTGTGGCCGATGTGTCCATGTTCATCATACTCAGCCAACTCAAACCAACTCTCTTTTCAAATAAATCATGTCATGATATTTTCTGGAAGCCTTCATTTTTCTACCTGTGGATTATTTCTGTCTCTTAGAGGCTTGGCAGTGATGCTCTAGTAAACTTTGTGACACGGCCTCTTACTGATCGCAACCCTAGCTGTGCTGTGGCCATTTCTGTTACAAACTCTTGTGGATGGAAACCTGCTTCTTTTTCTCTTTGAGCTGCTTGGTCACCTTTGACGTTTGTTTCTTGGTTTGTTGATCCTACAGGCAGCATCAGAGATGTGCAGTTTTGCTAGCATTGCTTAATATTCTTGGATCAGACAGATTGCTTACATCAACAGCACTTGCCATCTGAATTTGTGCATCTCTCTACTGCTTTTTTTATCAAACTAGGCTTTCAGCCTGGTAATGAGCAAGGCAGAATAAATGAGTTATCATCTGTTTGCCACTCCTTGTTCCAGACAGATAACACAATAATACATTTTAATCAAAAATAGTAAATGTGTTTTCACGAGGAATGGGGCAACAGCCAGACCTGTACTTTGCCAAAGAATTTGGGGAATTTTGTGGGATATTTGGAACTCATTACTGTACCTGGCAAGGATATAGCTTTAAAGTTTGGCTCCAAATGTTCCTGTGCTTGGTAGTACTTTATGTGAACAGTGCTTAAATAAATAAAACGTCAGTTCACACAGTTTAGTTCACATCTGCCAAATTCTCTTAATAATGTACCTTGATAATAGGAAAAAAGTAATTGTTCAATGGACTGAAAATGACTGGTCCAGAGGATCTGAGGTTCAGTTTCCAGATTTACCAGTGTGTCTTTGAGCAGTCTCCTTGGCTCCCAGCCATGAAAGATGGTTAAGCTCATGTGCGATCATAGGGGAGTCAGTGCAACATGTCACTTATCTTTTAGATTAAGCATGCAGTCTGAGTAGCTTTGCTGAATTAGACCTGTGAGGGCACTGCTGGGAGAGGACAGAAGGATGCTTCCCCAGGTCACAGGGTCGTTCAGGGTAAAACAATGATTTCCTGGGTTAATGCCCTAGTGAATGTTGCTCTTGGTTCCAGCATTGCAGCTCCTCCTTTCTCTGCTGGCCTTGGTTGTGCTGTCGGTATTCAAGGTGACTGATTAGATTGGCTGTTTCTGCACACTGCTTTTCTCTTTCATTTGCAGTGACTCCTGTGAACTGCTAAGTGCGAGTGCTGTGAGAAAGGGAGTCTCCTGCTGAGAAGGCTGAAAGAGTAATAGAAAAACGCATCTGATTTTTATAATGTAATAACCAAGCAATCTGGTTATCTCTTCGTTCTGTCCCCTTCCATTTCTGATCTGTTCTTGTGAGATGCTTGTGGAGTTTTTCCTCTCTCCTTCAATTCTGTTTGAGTTTTGGCATTTATCACTTCTGAATGGGAGCAATTATGGAAGCTGCTCAGTAGGGTTACTGTGTCAGACCTCTGTGACCATTTGCACAAAGGTAGTTCCTTGCAGTCAGACTTGCTAAAATTCCTACTTAGCATCAGTGAGCTGCTTTTCAGCTGTGTCTGTTTGTCTTGTAGCCCGCAGGCACCTCAGCCACAGGCTCCGGAGATTCCCTGGGCAGATGAGGAAAATGTAGTTTATCACCTGACCGATGAGGACTTCGACAAGTTTATAAAAGATCATTCATCTGTCCTAGTGATGTTCCATGCACCATGTGAGTTTGCTTTTTCTATTCTGTACTCTGATCCAAATGCTTGCAAACAAAATCAATGATAATTTGTTGTGTAGGTTTCACAGAGCCATAAAATCAAAGTCCAGGCATTTCTTGTTTGTCTTGATTCTGAAGTGCACAAGGTGTGTTTGTAAGGTTGCTGATTTCAAGTTTAGGGCAGAGATGTGCTGCTGGAAGAGGTATTTTGTAGGCTGAGTGCATCATAACTCAAGAGCTTAAGTAGTTAGAACAATCATTGTTTTGTAAGATTATTCCTATTTTTTGTATCCCTGATTTTCAGCTTGTCTTCTGTGTTTCTTGTTTTCATGGCAGAGCTCTGGTTGTTTGAGCTACTTGAGATCTGTGAGCTCGTAAGTCCTTGTTTGCAGCCGTAGTTCATTCTCTGGTAATGTAGAGGGTGATGGTAATGACGTGTTTTGCTGAAGGGTGCCAGTAAATTATGTAAGCTCAGAAAGTCTTTTGAAAACTGATGCAGAGCTGATAGTGATCTTAATGGCTGTTTTGCTGAGAATGAATTAGACTAATTTTTCTGGTGCAAAATGCAACAGGTTGTCCTAAGGTACTGCCCTCCAAGCTGTTCCAGCTATGTTGCTCTCCTGTATCTTGTATCCTCTAGGTTGATGTGGAAGATTGCATTACTCTGTTTGCTTGCTAACAATGCAACTTGTTACAATTGCATAGCTGGTTCTACCAGTTCTTTGTATCTTTAGCTGAAAGTTCAGGCTCAGATCTGCTATTTTGGATGGTACACGACTTCTGTCTCCTCTGGCTGCTGGTGCTGCCAGTTGCACTTGGGTGAGATGGTCATTTTTTTTCAGGCAAAAACTGGAAGGTTAGTGCTCTGGAGGTGGGCTGCATGCTCACAGCTGAACAACTGAGAGTCTTGGCACAGAGGCTAAAATCCTGCTTCCCTTCAAGTCAGCAGGAGTTAGCACCTAAATCCTCTTTTGAAGGTCTGCTCATAGGACTCGCTTGGAAAACACAGCATAACAAATTTCCTCTGCCTGATGAAATGTCTGGCGGTTTGATCCACGGAAGCAGGTGACTGCTGTTTTGTCGCCGTGTTCATTGGATTGTTTGTAATAATGAAGGCAGGACTGGAGATTAATGCCTGGTCTGAAAACCAAAGCATAAGTAGCAGAACTGATGAGGCATGCTTTGCCTGGGGGTTCCCCTTCGTTACCCAAATCCTTCCTTCCCCCAGCTTTCTGCACACCCCGGTGTGCAAGAGACAGTGCTGGCTGCTGCTCCCCTGGGCTGGCAGAGCAGCTGCTGCCAGGCAGGAATGTAACGACTGGGCTTCCCTTCTTTCCCTCTGTGTACAAAGGATAAGGGTCCTCTTTGTTTAGCTGCAGATTTTTACGGGGATTTATTAGTATTTGAGACATTGTTGTTGTTCTGAGTTTGTAAAGTGGCAAAGGAGTTCAATAATCCATTTAGGAGGAGGCAGAGAGGAGGGAAGAAATCGAAAGTTGGTCCTGTAAACTTTATTCCTTTAGGAAGCCAGATTAAAAATAAATGAATACCTGCAGCTATGGTCTAATTTTGTAGTAAATTCAAGTTAGTTTTAAATTCAAACAGGGCTCTGCTCAGTTTTTATGTTTATTTTGTTAATATCCTCCGTAGCATACGTGTCACAGTTTTAGGGGTGATGTGACCCATTTGGGGAGGAGGAGCACACTAAGGTGCAGCAGTACTTTGGCAAGTGCTGTATTAAATGCTGAGTGGGACTGTTGCAGTCTCCTGACAACATGTTCCAGCTGCTCAGAATTGAACTAAAGAATCTTACTTACCAGAAAACTCAATTTTAAATGAAACTTGAATATTTAGGGCATAAATAACTCATATGTTCATTGAAGTGGTGGTGGTGTGCCTACGTGCAGGATCCAACTTGTAAATGTGTAAATGGTCTGTGATTGGAACAATCCTTGTGGGCAACCTCAGCAGAGGGTGCAAGGCTTACAAGCTAATTAACAACAGATAACCATCATAAATAGTTATTAAGTGATTTAGTGTGATTAAAAGACCTTTTTGGAGCACTTCTCAATTTTGTTAATGGAGTCACCTTAGGAATATTAGGAGATATTACTCTAGTTAAAAAAAAAAAAAAAAAAGCAGTACAAATGGAGGATGTTGTACTTGTTTTAACTTTTGTGGATGAGGATGTACATTTTTTTCTAAAGAATTGTCTTAATTTAAAAAAAAAAAAAATGGGCCCAGAACTTGGGATATTTTCCTTTATAACTAAGACTAAACAAAGGCATTTCATTGTTAGCAAGGAATTAGAGCACTGTGTCCCCATATGGGATACACATGGACTTTTTTTTAACTTGCTATGAATCCTGTGTTTGAGAGAAGCTCTTTACTAGAGGCAGAATTATTTCAGTGATGCTTTAATTACAATTTCATAGTCAGATAGCCAGCACATTAATATACTGTAGTGCTAAGACGCATGTGGGGAAAATGGAAGCTGCACGTGCTGAAAGTACACTTGAACCAAACATATTTATAGTAAATAGCTGTGAACTGCAGAATTAGGTGCTGTGATGAATGTGACCAATTGGTCTCCATGCCTGTGGCTAATAGTGAGTCCCCTGTATGGCTGATGGTCCCCTGCATGGTCCCCTGAGGACCATGCTGTAATGATTCACAATCAGTTATGCTCAGTAGCCCAATTAGAAGTGTTGCAGTGTTATTTGAAGTGAGACCTGGTGTGTACCCAAGTTCAGCTAGAGCAGCTATGTGTGAGTTAAACATATCAGGAATGTTTGTTGAATGCAGCTTGCACCTCTTGCTCTCAGAGGCCTTACACCTTTCCTGCAGTGATGTAGCACAGCCACTAAACAGAAGATGTGCTGCTTTGGGTAGCTGCTGCTGGCCCTGAGAATCATAGGTGAGTGCAGGTGGGATGAGTTTGTCCTGCTTTCATTTTGCAGGTCACTGGGGGCACTGTAGGACTTTTAACCTTCTGAAACTCCTTTGTATAGCAAAGCTGAGCATTTAGCAAAGGTCAGCAGCAACTCAAGCAGCCAAGAGTCTGAAGGCACTTTTCCTCAGTCACTGCAGAAGAGCAGGCAAGCATTGTGTTCATTCCTCCTTGAGAATTATGTTGAAATTTTATAAATGCTGGTGGTAAGCATATGATTATCCTGGGTACATCCAGACATCCTGTGAGTTCATTCAGCATTGCTGCTCGTGTCATGCATAACACATGAAGGTGACTGATTTGCAGACATTCCAAGTGGGTTTTCTGTGTTGCTGCTGGTCACAGAGGAGAATTTAGTTATGAACTGAAATCTCTGGTGTAGCGCTTTACAAATGAAGAGCAAATAAATGGCCCTTTGCCCTGGAGGTTTTGGAGTTGTTGCTTGGATTGGCCTTATTCAGTAGTAACAGTTCAGTCTCTAAAAGAAGATGCATCTCACCAAACAAAGGTGCACTACAGCTGTACCACAGTATCAATAAAGGCAGCTCATCATAGCTTTCTGATAGCAGTGAAAATAAGAACTCCACGTCTGTCTGTGCCTCTTGATATCCATGCTATATGCTGATCAATTTATTTAGATGCCTGAGACGACAGCTGGGTGCTGAGTGTCTCCAAATTTAAGCGACACTGCCAATCAAATGTTTCTGAATGCTTAGTGACACAGGGACTCACTGGGACTTAAAATGTTCCTGAACCACTTCAGTGCAAAAGAGCCCTGTTTATTTTCAGTTGTCCCCATCAAACTGCTGAGTCAAATGCTATTTTTAAAATAATGCTGCCCAAAATATTTGCCAAATTAGTGCAGCTTGCAGTCTTTCAGACTGGTTTTTGTCAAATAAAAGAAAAATAATAATAATTTCCTGTTCCATATTTTTTCCATCTTTGTGCCCCAACCCAAGATCTGAATCTTGCACAAAATAACCCTAACTAAGTTGCTTATAAGTTGATTCGAATGCTACTGAAAGGTGTTTGAAGTCTTGCATTGAAATGAAATCCAATTCAGCAGTGGGTTTTAAAAGTGTCTGCTCTTCGTGCTAGAGAGTTACTTTTCATTGTGTTTTGTTAGCACAAATGACCACTAATGTTTTAAAGCATACGTGTTCAGGACACCTTCTATGGAACCATGTCCTGATGTCACCAGAAGTTCCAGCCTCCCTGGGGACATTCAGTGAGTGCAGATCCCAGTAACCAGCAGCTCTTGTTGGGTGAGGGTTGGCAGCCTCCCATGGTTGCTCCTTCTCCCTCTCACACAGTATTTGCCATAACATCTGTGGTTTGATACTGGTGCCAGGGGTAAAGGAGAGGAGAAAAGGCAGTTTGGCCTTACTGTGAGTATGCATTGACGTTTTAAAGAATTAAACACTTATAGTATTTTTTTCTGCAGTATTTCTTCCTTGTATAGGAGCTTAAATTCATGTTAAGCCTGTCTTTTGCCCAGTTTTCCTTATAGGACTACTTCTTTGGCATCATGTAAGTTATAGCTGCAGAGTGTAAGGTTAGGAAGAACATGGCTAGTGGGATATTGAAACTGTTGCTGTTTTCTTTCCCTGATAAGGAAGGCAGGCAAGGAACACACAGCTTATTTTTTCTTTGCTCCTTAATTTGTTCTTGGAAACCGCTTTGGAGATGCAGCCGTGGCATTACCTCTTATTGCTCCCTCCTAGTAGAAGGGAGGGAGGAATAAATCTTGATAAAAGCATTACAGTTTTGATGTGTTGTTGGAATGTCTGAGAAATTCCTTTTCTGTCCTTAGATATGTTCTCTCTTTTTGTAAACTGGCCTGATAAATTACACAGTTAGTGTTCTCCAAATCCAACTATTCAGCTGTGCCCGTTTTTAATTGTGCTGGGAACTGTTTTATCAATTTAGATTTGGAAAAACAACTCTTCACACCCTCCTTCCCTTCCTTCCTCCTTCCCATACATTAAACTCCAAGGTTTTAAGCTACTTTGGGGACTCATTACTAAGAATGCCAACCAACCAATTAGTCCATTAC